TTTAAAAAAATTATTAATTTACTGAAAGGAAGCAAAACAAATAATACATTCTGACATAATAAAAAAATACACATTTACACTGATATAATACACTTATAAATGTATCAGTACTGCAACATGTATTTCATAATTAATTTAACAGTACTAAATTAAGAACAAGTTTAATAATTACCAGCGACTCTATGAGCACATCATAAAATTATATACAAATTTAATATTTATCTTGATAATTTGTACGGTTTATAGATAAAGTTGCATTGCAGATTTATATCAAAGTTTATTATTATTGAATTCAATACATTATTATTGTATGTAAGGGGGGGCGATGAAAAAATTTTTGAATGAAATTGGGGCTAGTTAGAAAGTTTGAAAAACACTGGCCTAGGGATGAAAAAATCATGTTTCCAGAACTCATGCTGTGTGAAGAGTGGTTGTACAAAATATGTACCCCCTATTTTTTAAAGCTTTGGACTCCATTTGCTTGAAAAAGTGTTTCATATTATTAATACGTACCAACTTTTGTTCAATAATTATAATTTTGTGAGGTCTATCTGAAGTATTTGCAATTATTTCCCTCTAGAGCATTATTTTTGTCGAAAATTGAACGCATGAAAGAATTAACCCACATTTCTTTTAGCTTCAAATTCTTGAAATAAATATAACAATGCACCATTAAAACAATTTTTCTTCAAAATAAGAATTAATATACCTCTCTTATATCATATAAAAATAAAATTACATAAAATAAGCTTTTCATTCAACTTTCATATTTTTCCATCCTAAAAAAAATGGTTGTTTTTTAATTTTTCAAATTTATTTCTCCATTCTTTGTGAGTCAAAAAATTAAGACATTAGAAATACCTTTTTTGTGTGTGTGTGTGAAAAGAATGTATTGATCTTTTTGTATAAAGGAATTTGATTCAAATTCCTTCTCAAGCAGAAACTGGAATGTGTGTTACGTTTTACTATTACGATAAATGAAGTTAATTTTCTTTTTCCCTCATTTTTAGAATATTTATTCAATTTTTTCAGAGTGAAATTATGAATTAAGAACTTTACATGAGAGTAAACAGAGGATTATTTTTTTTTCTTTTTGTTGTTTGGAATTATTTATCATCAGCGTTCTAAAATTTCGTACTATTTAAAAAAACAAAATGGTTATTCAAGAATTTCGCTGTTTTAGTTATATTGTTGTCTTCGTAAAAAGTAAACAATTATCGAAGCAGTCTTTGATTTTTTGCAACATTTCAATTGATTGGGTTTTGATTATGATTTTTTTCGTTAAGATAAAAATAAGAATCTTTTTTTTTTAATTTTATTTTTTTTATTATTAAAATTCTTTTTTGGGAGTTCCAGAATTAAGCGGGGTTTTTTTATCGTGGGAAAAAATGAATTTGGAAAAATGGAAGACAAAATTTGTCGGATCTCTTCCGTCATGATATTACTTTTTTTTAATTTCATGAGTTCACGTGGTGGATCAACGGGGGTGTCGTATGCGTCACTTGATCGTAATTCTATAAAACAAAGCGAAAAAGAGTCGGAGCCTAATTTAGCTTTGCGTTAATTTAGCGTTAATAAGTAACCAATCAAGCGAATTTTGTTTATTAAAAAATCCAGTGTTGATACCTCTAATATTGTGACCATTTTTTTACAATGAAAAGGAGGACGAAAAAATAACAACTTAAATATATGAAACGTTTTATTAATTCAAACAAAAATACGCTAAAAGGGTTTCATTTTTTTTAATTATTATTTTTTAAAAATATTTTTTCCATTTAATGATTTTTTTTTTTTTCAACATATTAATTTTTTAATATACGGGTTAGGCAAAAATATTTTATACTGAATTTTGCGGAAATTAGCTAAAATATTAACATTAAACTTTTTTTTCAATCCTTACAAAATCATTTTTCCAACTGAAAAAACCTTTTAACTGCTGCTTGGGTTAGGGGAGCACAACGTAAATTCAACAAGAATTTCATTTCTTGGAATGTGTTCGTTTTGAAAGGTTTGTTTTCACCCATATTTTACCAATTTTCACCATGTTGATTTTCCCCTTGTTTAATTTTTAAATTTTAAAAAAATTCAGTCTTTTACTTCAAACAGACTACTGTCATCGTTTTAGTATCGGCATTTCTTACGATAAAAAATCAACGTAATTTTCTTTTCTGCCCATTTACTTGGCCCAATAAAAAAACCCTTTAAAACTGTTATTTCCTGTGGTATTTGTTTCAGACCATTCTTGACGTTTGGGTAGTTTGGTTCATCTCAATCAGGTTTCATATTTGTTTTAAAATATTGGGGGCAAAGGAAATTTTCGGGAAGGACGAACCTAAAAAGGAGGACTGTCCTTTAAAGGGGGAGGGTTGGTCCCTTACTAAAAAAATTTTTTGGAGAATTTTTTATTAGGCGTTAAATCTTGACATTTTTCTCGTATACACGACAATTAATAAAACAAGAAAGCGAAGGCATTGATCGAGTTAAATTTTATCAATTCTCTGGGAAACTAAATGCTTGTCGCTTGACCATGGTTCAAAATTTTAAAAAAAACTAAAAAATACGCTTTTATAGTGAATCAAACTAAAAAGTATAAAAATAATTCTTAATATAAGAATAAAATGATTAACGAGAAAATTAATGTCCTTGGGGTAAAAGCGGGGCGTGTGTGCTTTGTTCTACATTTTTACACAAACTCAGCATTTCGGAATAGAACTAGTAAGAAATTATAATAATTAATATACCCACGCTTTTATCCCAAAGACATTAATTTTGTCGTTAATCATTTTATTCTTATATTAAGGTATCCGACTACGTTCGGAACCATGATTTTTGAAAAAGCATATAAATGGATAATATTTATGATATTTAGTGTCACTTATTAGAAAATGTATATAAAATTGTTTTAAGAATAGTATTACAATAAAAAATTATTTATATAAGTACAATATTAAACACGAAACAATATTAAGTACAATATTTAAACGTATTGCAATAATGTTAATTCGTATCATCACTTCTAAACGCGTATTGCCTTATAAAAATAAAAAATAAAAATATTTATCTGTTAGAACATAATTTTTTTTTTTTCGTGCCAAAAATTTCTTTTTTTTTTCCATTTTCAGAAAAACCCAACAAAAAGTATATAGTATGGGTTTAAAAAGCTACCCCCCACCCTGCCTTTCTCCCCATAAAAAAAACACTTTTATTTTGTTTGCTTTATTTGTATTAACCACAAGTCGCTTTTAGAGTTGCACCTTAATCCTTTAGTCACCAAATCTGAAAATGGTATATGCAATTAATCGCCAAATCTGGAAGTGGTATAATGAATTATTCGCCAATTCTGGAAGTGGTATAACGAATTATTCACCAAATCTGGAAGTGGTGTAAGGAATTATTCGCCAAATCTGAAAATCCTTATTTTTGATGATCCTGATCAGTACAATGAAACAAAATTATGAAATTATTGTATTGTCATCAGTCCTTGACAATTGTGCAAAATTTGGGGAAAACCCCGCCAAAGTGGGTAAAAATCGGGTTCAAGATTCCGTTACATACAACTGAAACTTATAAAAGCGCTTTAATTAAAAGGGCCGTCCTCAATAGCTCTCGTGTTCCTTTATAGTGCGACTTTAATAATCACTCAGTCAGTTTGGGACACTAAAAACAAATGATTTCAACAGATATTTATATTGCTAAGTTCACTCTCTCCCTATATATCTTTATTTATATATGTATATATCCTGTTCAAATTTTCAATCGTTAATAAAATACTTTCCATTCATCTATTCAAGTTCAAATACATTTTTTTAAGGAGACATAGTACGATTTACGCAAAAAATTTTAATTTCAGGATTTTCAAAATTTTTTTTGTTGCTTGCTATCAGTAAAACAGATTTTGTGCCCAAAATTTCAAAAAAGCCATTTAATTTTTTAAGGGATCCATTTTCGTTCGGAACCGTGATTTTCAAAAAAGGGGTAAAATGGATAATATTTATGATATTTGGTGTCATTTGATTAGACATGTATACAATTGTTTTAAGGACATTATGAAAAAAAAATTATTTAAATAAATATTTTGGAAAAAAAATTAACTTAGAAAAATTTTTTTCCAAATTTCTCCTTTTTAAAAATGCTTCTTTTATTAATATTTGGAAAAAAAAGGTTATTCTAAGTTAATTTTTTAAAATTTTGTATTTAAAAAATTTTTTTTGTCATTGCCCTTTAAAAACAATTGTATACATGTTTTTAATCAAAGTGCCCCCTAAATATCGAAAATTATCCATTTATCCTTTAAAATCATGGTTCAGTCGAATCAAAAAAAAAAAATTTGTGGTTTATTTTAAAATCTACTCCTCCTAAAAAAAATGATTTTACATTTATGAAATTTGATTTACATGTATGTCACAAAATATTATAACAAAAGTTGGTATGGGTTTTGCGATAACATGATTTATTCGTACAATACCCCTTTTATGAATGCTTATTGAAAATTTCTTAAAAATTATAAATTCTGAATTAAAATATTTTTTAAAAAAAAAATAAGCATTGCTTTGATTAAAAAATGCTAAATTTTTTGTTACATGTATTTTTAAATAGGAAAAAAATTTAAAAACTTAGGCACAATGGAAAAAGAGCCTTAGCATTTTAAATGAAGACAAACTAGTTATTTTATCTTTCTGAGATAAGTAAGTTTGAAGTTTTGATTTGCCACGGGATGTGAATAAAAACGAACGTAAAAGCTATCATAATTCTGCGTTTTTTTAAGTTTAGAGTTTTCAAGTTTTGTGAGGTTATAGAAAAGTATATAAAGAATAATTTGGCTAAAAAAATTATTTTTTGATTTTTGACTGTTTTTTTGTTTTGAATCGTGTGTCCAAAACTTGACAATGTTACAAGTTTTTCAAATATTAATTCATTAATTCTGTTTAATGAATGAATAAATAGTAACAAACAAATATAATAGTCCAACACCCTATATAAAAAGTAAAATCACTAGTTGTGTTCCTGTAGCGCAATGGATAGCGCGTTGGAGCCCTAAACAAAAAGTCGTGGGTTCAAATCCCACCAGGGATGGCCTAATTTCTGAGAATGTGATTCCTTTTTACTATAGTATTTTATTGGGAATAGTTAAATTTAATTAATGAATGAATAGTAACAAACACAAAAATAATAGTTCTCATCTACCACGGCTACATATAGAGAGAGAATAGAAGTTCGGAGATTATATAGGAAAGCACAATATGTGTGTTTCAAATCCGATACTATTAACTGTTAAGAGAATGTTGAGAAATTAACATGAGAGATTGGTGTGGAACAACCCAGTAGAAGGATTCCTGAGGGAACTAATTCTTCTGAAGCACATTCGTGTCTGTCTGGTAGGAAACTTCAGTTGAATATCACAATGCAAACATTATTATTATCATATATTATGAAAGATGGCAGTCAGTCGAGTCGATTTGTGACTAAGTTTGTGAGATTGTGAGTGACGCACATTTATTTGTTACGGGTTACCGTTTGTACGAGTACTTGACAGTGCACGCTATATACTGTCTACTCAAAAGGGTGGCAGAGGGGCAGGGCTACTTTTGTAAAGGTTCCAGGACCTCAAGAAGCATTAGTACATCATTGGATGCGTCTTTACAATACATCTTTAGCAACACGTACAAAATTATTGGAGTTCAGTTGGGAAAAACGAAGTCTTACCTTCCATACAGCCCGACTCTGCTCCATCAGATTATTATTTATTTAGAAGGTTACAAAACTTCGTAATTGGTGAAAATCTTTGTAATAAAGTTGACCTTAAATCGCTCTTGGATGAGTGTTTCGCTGATAAGGACAAGAAATATTTTTACGGAATCATAAAGTGACCAGAAAAATGACAAAAATTCATCGAACAGAACAAAAGATATATGTAAGGATCTACTGCTTGCACCTGGCAACAGGTCGAACGATACACACGAGATCTGGCATTGGGCCCACTATATAGAGAGGAGGACCTGGCAACGACAAGGGAGACTAGACCGGAAGAGACCGAACCAGCGGAGAAAGGAGAGCGGTAGCGAGAAAATGGAAGGCGAGAAAAACGTGGTCGGAGGAGGAGAGACGGCTGGACGATGGATTGTAATCTTGGACCATCTTGATATTTTCTTCTTTTTATGAAGTGTCCCATAGAAGGAGTTAAATAAAACAGAGGGACAAAATTCTGAGCAGTAATTAATTTTTTTTCACAATTCGAACACTACCCGATCCGAAAAGAACCCACAAGTTGACAATATATATTATATGTTACCTTTAAAATGTATAATTCAGTTATTTCTTAGAATAACTTGGTATTTCATGAAATAACTAGACCAATCAATTAAAGTATAAAATAGATGAAAAATTCTATACTTTGCCTAATGATTCTATGAAATAACTAGTTTATTCTATAAAATAACGAATGATAGACCTTTAAACAGAGAAAAATAAACTTAAATCGCTAAAACCTCTCGGGAAAAAAATTTAACCCTATTGCTGATGATTAATTAATAAATAATAAGGAAAAACAGTTGATATAACTTATTATTGCTCAAATTGCTAACGTTAGTTAAACAGAAAGGAGAAAAAAGAACATGTTTTGCGTCTATTACTGGCACGATTGACTTTTCTACTCTTTTAACTTCAAGGATATCTCTCATAATGCTGAAAGTGACCAATAGTCACATGGTACTTTTTTTCTGTGCCGTTTTAGTAATTTTTACTTCTGCTGTCAAACTTAATAATTTTTCACGAGTAAGTGCAGCGCTGTTTTCCTTTGTCCCACGTTTATTTAATAAGAATTCAAATCTCTCGCATTGAATCTTTCTTATTTACAGGTTAATCTTCTTTTCTTGTAGAAATCATTGCTCGAAAACAAGTTGCAAAAATTTTTGTCAATAATCCAAAATGTGAAAAACGCTCTGACTTATATATTCACCACCTCAATTCTACGTTTAAAAGCAACGAAATGAAGCGTACACAAACACGTCATTGTAAAGCAGATATAAGCGGTTCAAAACTAATTAAAAGCAGCTATAGAATCGGTTCAAAGAACTTTCGAGTGATGTATTTCCTATTTTAACAATCAAGTAATCGTTATTCTATAGAATACTTAGTTAAATCGTAGAATTCAATATTTTTATATACTTAAATTGACTTGTTCAGTTATTTCATGAAACATCTAGTTATTCTATGAAATAACGGATTTCACTCTTTAACAGTAACATATATTATATATTATGTTTGATTGATTAAAGCTTATTTTTGAGTAGTAAAGTTTATTTTCACATTAATAAACCAAAATTACACTCTTGGCAATCAATACTTTGTCAGGATTATGTCGGAGAAAACGCTCCACACAAGTATAATTATTTGTGTTTTTCACCGATTAAAAACTATCGAATCTTCTGCCATATCTGTTGTTTATTCGAATTCAAAGAAGTTATAGAATTCTCTAACGCGCGTCACGAGATATTATTTAGGTCTAAAGATTTCAAATGATTTTTCTTTAATCAAAAAAATAAATAAATAAACACACACATACACACAATGATCTGTTTTTCCAATGACTGCTACCAAGCCCACCCTCAATGAAAACAATTATACTTGTTTTCAACGTCAAAAGTGCGCGTGTAAGAATTAATTATGCAAATTAAAGAACTAAATTTTAAAAAAAAACAATTTGCTCCTTCAGATTTAAAGCATTTGACGAACTAAAGCAATTAGGATAAGATTACCATTTTCTTTTCGTGTTTTTACAGGCATACACGTGCCGTTTCACAGTTAATTTGATTACTCACTGTTTGTTTGTTTTCTTCGAAAATTGAATCATTTTCTTCATCTTTTAATATAATTAAGATTAGAATCTCTCACTCGCTGAGAAATTAACGGTTTCATATTTCTTTCTTTCAAAGTATGGTAGTTTCTGCTGACAAATGTCTGCTTTCTATTGAACACTTTTATTGAAAGAAAACCTTGAAGAGATGTTGTCATCTTGTGATTATGAAAACAAAATACAACTGAATCATTCTCTTTTGTATATTTTTTACCCTTACTTAATAAACAAATTTGAAACAAATCAAAATTTGTACGTAAAACTAATTAAAAATGAAGACAAATTTGTCGTAACAAAATTCGATAGTCTGAGTTAGAAAGCTTAATTTAGTGTTGAAGAGAGATTTAAAAAGATAAATTACAGCAAAAATATAAAAATACTGAAAAAAGTTCCGAATTTTTTCAAAAATAAAGAGAACGTAAAATGCACATAAAATATTGTATTTAGTAAAAATTAATATCTTTATTGTGCAGACAATTTTTAATCATTAAACGAACAAACGCAAAATTATTTTGCTCACAGGAACTTTTTTAAAATATATACAGTGGGCCACAAAAGTGTTCGTACACTTGCAATCTCTTATAACATTTAGTGTTTTCGACTAATAAAAATTAGTATATTGTAATTGTAATTTTTTATGATATCTGCAACTTGTTCTTAATAAAATTAACAATCAAAAAGCTACTAAAAAATTACGCCACAAAAATCTTCGTACAATTAACAAAAATCTCAATTTAGCTTTAAATATTGTATTTCTTTCTTAATTTGGCACTTAGCAGAATATCTTTTAGTGTCCACAACAATTTTTAAGCGTCTTGGTACAGTCTTTTGTAATTTCTACATCATTTTCCTTCATTCTTCTGTGATTATTGTTTTTACTTCACATTTTGTGTTTATTTGTCATTTTTTATTTTTCGTTTTACATCAAAATCTCCCCAAATATGTTCTACTGGGCTAAATAAAGTGATTGAGGAGGTTTTTTCATAATTTGGGGACAGTTATAGGGACACCAGTGGCGTATATTGAGAGCAGTGAGCTTGGCGTTATTATACTGTTAAAAAATAAAGTCGTTTCCAATATCCAAATTTTGGGCGGATAATTCAAAATTTTTCTTTAAAATATTTAAATAAAGCTCTTGATTCACAGTATCAACAAAAAATACCAAATTACCTCATTCTGTGGCCGATTTACACCCCCACGCAAGAACACTTCCACCACCATGTGTTTTATTGATCCAACTAGATTCAGAAAATTCAAAATTGACAGCAAATTGTTTGGGATGGCAGATAATTCAACATTTTTGTTTCCGATGGGCCTATAATAGCTTGTAAATGAAAAAAATAAGGAGTTTAATCCCATGAATTTATGTGGAACAAGAACTCCTCCATCTCCATGCTTCAGCATTGAAGTGAAGGTGTTCTGGCGTGGGGTGTAAATTGACCTCAGGGTAAAACAATTGATATTTTATGGTATTATGAGTCATGAGCTCTTTAAATATTTTAAAAGAAATTTTTATCCCCCCAAAATGTTTGAAAGCTTTTCAACAGGGTAATGACGCCAAAGCGCACTTCTGTACGCCACGGGCCTAACTGTCTAATAAAACTCCTCCCCCAATCACTTATTAACCCAGAAAGCATTTTAGTGATATTTGGTGAAAAAAAAAACATGACAAAAAAACAAAAATGAAGTAATATCACAAAAATGGAGAAAACCCAAGAAAAATTGCGAAAACTGATTAAATCTATACCAAAACGCTTAAAATTGCTGTAGTGAAAATATCACTAAGATACTAAATTTAAAAAAAAATACAATATTTCAACTAAGTTGAGATTTTGTTAAAGTACGAACTTTTGGCTAACCCATTAACTTAAATTTAATATTTTAAAATTAGTTATGCTTTTTAAAATTAATTATGTCATTCCATTAAAAACAAGTTGCAGAATTTCTTAATTTTTTTTAAAAATTAGTTATGTTGTTTTTTAAATTAATTTTGTCATTGCATTAAAAACAAGTTGCAGATATAAAAAAAAATTACAATTACAATATATTAATTTTTAGTAGTCGAAAACATTAAATTTTATAAGAAATTGCAAGTGTACGAACACTTTTGTGGCCCACTGTAGTTCTTTTTTCCTACTTCATTTTACTTTTGCAATCAATGACTCTCTTTTCAAGAATGTTTACTTTAACTCTGAAACATTTCTTGAAGCCATGATTTTAC